CGAAGATGTTTAATTCAGGACTAAGGGGCCTCGAATAATCAGCTTCTAAGAAACCCCTAGAATGTATGGACAGGCAAGTCCAATTCATAATTCATTGCAAAAGGAAAATTCCGCTGTGGTAATTGGCTAACAAGACCCGAAATGCACTGTTCAAAGAACGAAATTCTTCACGCAGATAACGATTAAATTTGAATCAGGAGCAATTCGATTGACCTGTCCAAATGCATATCATATTACTCGGTACAGTCGAACCTGTATTTAGCGGTCATTCACTGGGATCGGTGGTGACCGCTTAATGTAGGTTGACCTCTTAATACAGGCTCTACGGATAAGGGGTATTATTAAAAATGATAATAAACCGAAAAAACAAAAGCAAAATTGAAACAAACACAACGCCACTAATGCCACTGTTATAATTGACCACTTTATGTGCAGAATCTCGATCAAAGATACTATTAACTTCGATTTTGGCAGAGAAGCATAAATTAAAAAAATTATTTGAAGGATCATACTTATTTTTATTCGAGTGGTTGGGCTATAAGTGGCTTTTAACCTCTTAATACAGGCTCTACGGATAAGAGGTATTATTAAAAATGATAATAAACCGAAAAAACAAAAGCAAAATTGAAACAAACACAACGCCACTAATGCCACTGTTATAATTGACCACTTTATGTGCAGAATCTCGATCAAAGATACTATTAACTTCATTTTTTGCAGAGAAGCATAAATTAAAAAAATTATTTGAAGGATCATACTTATTTTTATTCGAGTGGTTGGGCTATAAGTGGCTGTTAAAACAGGTGGAGGGCAATACAAAGAGGCCGTTGGGACTTTGTTGATTACGACCGCTAAGTAGAGGTAACCGCTTAATAAAGGTAAAAAATTATAGTGATTAATGGGGAAACAAACTGAGGACTTTGGCAACCGACAAACACTAATTCAAGCGACTGCTTAATACAGGGGTGGTCGCTAAATACGGTGCCGGCGATGCTGTAGCATAAAAAAAACCTACATATTCTTTGGAAGATGAGAAAAGAATTATTTTGTGAAAAAAAAAAAAAAAAGAAAGAAGAATGATGATAACACTCTGGGAAGGGAGGGTTGGCCTGAAATAGTTCCTTCTGGGTACCTGTATAAGCAGTTCATCTTCTTGTGTGGCATAAAAGTGTGATAGTGAAAATATCCTCTCGTTCTACCGTCATTTGCTTATGAAATTAACTTCATACCAGATTATCTCAGTAACAAAAGGGGATATTTATTGCAATGTATTTTTCCCTACAGGTCTTGCGCCAGAGTTAGTAGAAGTTCCTCGCAACCAAAGCATTGATATAGGGGCCAATGTAACTTTCAACTGCACCGCCACAGGTCTTCCTAAGCTAAGCATCTCATGGATCAAAAACAGTGATTCATCTGCCTTACAAACCAACTCAAGGGTGACATTCAGTTCAAGTTATAACAATTTAAGTTCATCAAAAAACCACAAAACCATGCAAGGCCAGCTGTTTATTACAGGAGCGAAGAAAGAAGATTTTGGCAAATATCAATGTGAGGCCAAAAACAGTGCTGGTAAAAATTTGTCGCTGCCAGCTTTCTTAACCTCGAAAGATTCAGGTTAGACATGAATATGCATTAGTGTATGTTTGTCTTCCTTATCACTTCAAAGTTGAAAACCCACGAAGTCTTTCACTTGCATGCCAACTCAGTCTCCCAATTGAAATTCCCCCAACACCATGTAAGCGAGATAAGCTCGGCATTTGGATGATTGCTTCTTGGTGTACATTTCCGTAGATTATAAAAACTCTCGGAGTGTTACCAGAGTATCAAGAGCTAGAAAATAAGCAGTTCTCTGTAAAATGTTTATACAAATTTTTTTAAGTTGTCATTTCAGTTTCACCCGTTACTGTACCTCCTCAGTCTTCTTATCATCAAGACTCCCCTTTAAGTCCAATTCTCTTCAAACCGGGTCTTTCGAGCGGCAAAAAAGCCTTGGGCCCCGACATCCACAAGAAAGATTACAAATGAGACAATTCATAATGTCCCATTCATTCATATTGATTATTTTTGTTTCAATTTGGTAGATGACCAGAAACCTGAGATCGTTGAAGGTCCAAAGAACCAAAGTGTCCTGATTGGTTCCAATGCTACCTTAATCTGCACTGCTAGGGGTCTCCCAAGGCCAACAATCCGCTGGATAAAGGACAATTCTTCATACCCTTTACAGTCTAATCTCAGAGCACGTGTCATTCCAGAAGGGCCAACCAATCGCAGCCAGCTTTTTATAACAAGAGTAGAGATGGAAGACTATGGAAAATATCAATGCATTGCAAATAATAGCATTGGAAGAAGCCAATCAGGAGTGGCTGTCTTGAACAAAGGTTAGTTTTTTTTAAAACACGGTAAGAGGGGTCCTTCTTAACTACAGGTGCTGTTCTTAAGAACAACGTGTTTTTTTATAATTTGTCCACAGCAACTCCTACTCTCACCCCCGTGAAAAGAGAGCCAGAAAATTCAGCATCTCAGACAACTATAGTCGCTGTATCATGCACTTTGGCAGCTGCTGTTATTTGTGTAGTCACTGTGTTTGTGTGGAATCGGTGTAGAAATCGTGACAAAGAGGTAAATAATACGTTTCGTGACATTCCCACACAGAGTAATGATCTCCTCTGTCCGTCATGCGACTTTGCTTGTGCTGGCGTCCAGAGGAATGCTGGGATTGACCAGCCAAGAATCATGCAGTTTCCTAAGGGGGTAAGATGCAGAGTCGAGAAAAACTTCCCAATTTAACTGATTATTATAATTATTATTGTTATTATTATTATTACGAGCTATTTTCCCTTTCGTGGTGATTTCCGTCAGTTTGGCCTTATTTGGCAAAATTCGGCCTTTAAAATGAGTCAAGGCCTAGGAAAATGTCCATTTTTGTCCCTACTTCGTCTACTCTAAATTGTCCTTTCCCCCACTTTGAGTCAGTAAATATCTCACGCAGAAACAAGCAGGGGCTTGCGCGACCCATATTCACGGGATTTATGAAGCAGTTCAATCAGAAAAAAAGCTATATTCCTTACTTACCTTAGAATTATTACACTTGAGGATTATCGTTGTGAAAGATGGTGCGTCTATTTCAATTTGTTTCCTTCCTTATAAAACAGACGCTATTTAAATCGCATACGACTAGTAAATCAAAGTGCGAGAGATTTTAGTTCGTCGAGTTTAAATGCATGATTATGAAGGGGTCTCAAACAAATGATAGTGATGATAAATCTTGGATAGATATCACAATTGCCTATTCTCTTAAATTATATGACAGGGACGAAAACGTGCAGCAAAGGTGTATCTGAAAAAAGGTCAACAGTTGAAAAATGGGATACAGGACCTTGAAAACAATCGGTCGCCCAATAGCCAAACCATCGAAACTCCCGAGGAAAGGCTTCTGTTAGTGGGGGATGGAGTAGGGGAGAGACTGCCTCCAGACGGAAGCGAGCAGGATGATTCGGTGCAAGGAATAAAAGAA